GAGCCGGAGACGGGCTGCCACAGCCGAACCCCCGGGGAGGACGGGCAGAGCCGTAGCGAGAGCCCCGGCTGCACCCTCCCCGACAGGCGTCCCCACCCTGGCGGGGCACTGCGGTGCCAGGGCCTGGCCCCACGGAGGGCGGCTATCTCAGGCAGGCCAGAGCCACAGCCCACGGGGCAGACCTGGGAGGTGTTTCTGCTGGGCGTCGTGACCTGGGAATTCCCCACGTGGCCCTGGCAAAGTCTTTGTGGGTGCCCGGGGCGGCCCATGACCCTCCGGGGCGGTGAGCGAGCTTGGGGGCACGGCTGGACTGGGGCCGGGGCTGGAAAGGCTTCCCCTGCCTCCCCTGTGGCTCAGCACCCCTGGAGCTGCGAGCTGCTCTGGGCTGCAGCGCCACCCCGCTCTCTGCAGCGCCGTGCAGGGGCCAGGCAGCTCGAGCAGTGTGGGATGCGGCGGAGGTGATGCTTCCGGCAGGAGGAGTGAGAGTCACCGGGGGCTTCTGTGCTGATGCTGTTGCGGGCGCCGCAGCCTCGGGGCCTCGCAGCTCCTCGTGCCTGCCAGGGCCCAGAGCACACGCAGCTCCCCTGGCGTGGGCCTGGAAACCCAGGGGTTGCTGCTCCGGCCAGCAAGGACCAGGTGTGAGCCTGGCCTCAGCTCCCTGCTGCCATCCGGGGACGAGGCCACTGCAGCCCTGCGCCCTTCTGTTTCAGACAACCACTCCCAGGTGTCCAGAGCATCTCTCCGTATCCGCATCCTGGACGTGAACGACAACCCGCCCGAGCTGGCCACCCCATACGAGGCCGCGGTGTGTGAGGACGCCAAGCCTGGCCAGGTAGGGCTGTCCCAAGCGGCTCCCCGCGGCACAGGGGGGTGGATTCTCGTGGCTGCTCGTGCTGTACTCGGGAAGGGGCTTCGTCCTTGCGGAGCGACAGCTTTGTGCCATTCGTGGCTCCATACTGCTCCTCCTAGACCCTCTGGGGGCACCCGCGGTGTGGGGCTGTGGCGCCGCTCGGCTGGTCCTTCCCCGGCCATGGCTGCTGTGGAGCAGGGTAGTGCAGGTGCCCAAGCAGCCAGGCTGGGTGCACGGCCGTCTCCTGCCACGCGTGTGCCTTTCCCACCGTGTGATGAGACCTGAGCTGCGCCTGGCTCTTTGGGAAGGGGTCCGGGAGGAAGCTCCAACCTCTGCTTTCTCTCTGCAGCTGATTCAGACGATCAGCGTCGTGGACCGGGACGAGCCGCAGAGCGGCCATCGCTTCTACTTCACGCTGGTGCCGGAAGCCACCAACAACCGCCACTTCTCACTGCTGGACGTGCAGGGTGAGTCCTCGCGGCTCTCCTCCCCTTCGTGTGACCCAGAGCCGGCACGGCGGGAGGGGGCGTGAGCAACCACCCCCTTCAGAGCTGCCAGCTATGGCAGGGGCTGGGCCCTGGGGCTGCTGCCCTGCCCCAGGCATGGCGCTGGCTGGGGCAGGAGCTCACGGGCAGCAATCGCACCTGGCAGCTGCAGGCTGCACCTTGCACTTCCCACGTGGGGACGGATGCTTGGGTCCGTGGCTAAGCAACCCTGTTATCCCTCTGTCCTGCCTGGAGAGCGGGCGTCCCTGCAGCCGGGCACAGACGTGTCGCACGCCCAGAGAACGCACCAGGTGCCTGCAGGCTTTGCTCCTGGCATCTCCGCCCTGCCAGCTTTGCCGCAGGGGGCAGGGGGAGTCTCTGCCCTCGTTGGCTGTGGCTCCGTTTGGTCTGTGCTCACACGTGTGGTGCTGGCCACAGCTGTGCTCAGTGCTTCGGGGCGGGAGCCCCAGCTCCGCGCTGCTGGGGAAGCCGTCTGCCTGCAGGCCATCCCCGCATGCCCTGCAGCAGCAGTTTGATTGCCCTGCGTCTCGGCCTCTAAACCTATGAACGGGACAAGCAGCCCACGGGGCACTTGCTGCTCACTGCCCCCGCGGCGCAGGCTGGCCACGTAGACGGCTCCAGACGCGCTGCCTCTCGCCGAGCCTAATGCAGGACCTTGTGTGGAGGGCCCTGGTTCCTCTGTCACAGGACAGGACCAAGTGCAGGGGCAGGTCAGTGCCTGCCAGCTCCCATCCCCGCTGCGGCCAGACCCCCTCGTGCCCTCACCCCTCTCTCCTCCCTGCTTGTCCCCAGCCTCCAGGCAAGGAGGGGATGTGGGCTTACGGGTAGGGCACGACCTATCCTGGGACCCTCAGGCTGGAGTTGGGATTCTTGCTACGTCTTACCAGCCTGGTCCTGCTGCCTGCTCTGGGCTGTCCCGGCCCCAGCTCCCCTCTGCCCGTGGCTGCATTACGCACGTGGCTCGGGTGATGCCCGCTCAGCACATGCCAGCCGGGGCGTTGCTGCCCCGCATGCAGCTTGGGGCTTCACCCCCGGCAGGCCCCAAACTACGACGTTCGGTCCCAGGATGCAAGCCACCCCTGGGCTCGCATGCAGCCCCCACTGCCGCCAGGCAAAGACTGGCTCTGCTGCGGACAGTCGTCTCCACGTCAAGGGGTCCTGGGATATGTCGTGTGTCACCGCACTGAGCATCGCCCGTGCCGTGCCGTGCCGTGCCGCCTCGCCTGCAAACTGGCCGGGCCGTTGCGTGGTTGCTCTGAGGGCGTCTAGGACCCTCCACGTGCTCTGCTCCCAGCCACCATGCAAGGAAGGTGCTTTCCCGGCCCAGCCTTGCTGCTTCATCCCATCCCCTTCCCCAGGCTGCCCATACAGGTCCCTCCCCTTGCTGCAGCCCTCCCGCAGCGCTGCCGGTCCCTCTGCCGTGCTCGCCCCCTCTTGCACCCTCTGCTCCCTCTCTATATAAATATCAGCGGTGACAAACTGCTACCACCAGCCCATCTGTTTCTCTGTACAAATTTGTAGCCAGTTTTGAAACGTGATTTATAAATATTGCTTCTGCAGCCAAGGAGTGGCACTGATGGATGTCGGCACAGATGGGCTCTCCGAGCACGCTCCAGTCCTGCTTGCTCCCTTTGCACCCACCTCTCGCACTTCCTGTTAGGCAAGAAAAAGCAACATCAGGCGTGTAACTCATCCCCGCAGCGTGACAGGGGCCAGCGTCCTCTCCAGAGCCGCAAGCACCTCTCAGCCTCTGTAGAGCGTCGGGCCTGGCCTGGCGCAGAGCGGATGCAGGGCGGCGGCGGTCAGTGGAGCATTACATGGATGATGTTTGCTCATGTGCTGTTTGCTCGCACACTCCAAGCGCCCCGTTGGCTACGCATGGCCACGCGCCGGCCATCCCTGGCACCAGCAGACCAGAGGCAGCCTTGCAGGGCAGGACCGGGACGTGCATGAGCACTGCGTGCCCCGCTGGCTGTGCATGGCCACACGCTGGCCACCCCAGCAGCTGTGCAGGGCAGGGCCGGGACGTGCGTGGTGTCGTGCAGCTGTGGCCAGCACTGTGGGGGCTGGCAGGGCACTTGGCAGAGGATGGAGGCACCCGGGAGGGCAGCAGGCTCTGGAGCAGAAAGGAATTGCGCTCGGACAGGGATGGCCCAGGTCTGGCCCTAGCCCTGCAGGCAGTACAGACGGGCTGAGCTGGAGGGGCCTGGCAGCATCCTGGGCAGGGCCGTGCCAGCCCTGCCTGCTGTGGGGACCCCTGGAGAGCCATGCCGGGGAGCTGGAGTTCCTCCTGCCCTCTGTTCAGGGCCTTTGTAGCTGGCCAAGGGCTTTGCCGTGGCCAGGCCCATGCATCCCTGGGCTTGCTGCAGTTGGTGAGGTGCTGCCCAGTATAGCAGCGTCTCAGATGTTTCACTGCCGGGTCCTATTTCCATCGCCTCCCCCATCCCAGCGCGCATCTAGCACAGAGCATGGGGTGGCGGCCTGCCCGCCCCAGCACAGCTGGCAAGGACCCCATCCTGCCATGGTGCCTTGGGTACTGATCCCGAGAGCAGAGGAAGAGGCATCCCCTGCGCTCAGTTCAGGAGGGGTCAGTGGCGGCACGCTGCAGGCTCCAGCTCCCGACAGCATGGCCTGGTCTACACGGTGCAAGCGGAGTGTGAGCAGCCCCGTGCCACAAGACGCGGCCCCAGCGTGGCGGCTGTCCTTCGTGGTTGGAGCACCTGACAATGGGACCTCTCCCGGGAACGCCCATACCTGCCGAGCTGTTTGCTTGCAGGGTCCCGCGGTGCTCTGGGCTGTACGAACCCAGAGCAGTGACGGTCTTCCCCACAGAGTGCTGATGCGGCTCGTCCTGCTGGCCTCTTCCCCAGCCGCACGCGCGTGCCGCTGCTACAAAGGACTGCATCCTTGGCCTTGCTCCGGTGTTCGCAGCACCACAGACCCTGCTCCAGGTCAGGAAGGAGCAGGGGAAGCCTGGGGCCAGCTGGATGCTGCGTGCCCCGAGGCTGGGTGCCCGCGGCCCTCACGCCCCACTGCACCTGCCCGGCCTCACTGCTGCTGCCTGCGCAAGCGGAGGGCCCGGGCCCCTCGGCACCTTTATTGCTGCTGAGCAGAGGAGCCGCATGTCAGGACTGAGCTAATCTGGCGCTCGGTACCAGCTCTGCTTCTGCTCCTTCATCTCGTTGCTCGCCTCCAGCCCCCACAATCAGCTGGGAATGTTAAATGAGGTTTGTCCTGCCGAGCTCCCCGAGGCAGAGGCAGAGGCAGAGCCCCTGGCCTCTCCTGCCCGCCCTAACATCGGCATCGCAGCGGAGAGGCTGCACCTACAGACCTGCCTGCAGCAGGGCGGGTTAAGTGCGTTAAGCAGCCAGGGCCGAGCGCGTGCGCCCAGTTGGCGAATGCACCGACTTCCCCCAGGCCTGCCCAGACGCCTTGGCCTTCCTGGGGCTCTGGTCACGCCTCCCGGCTGGGTCTTCCTGTCACAAGCAAATCGATTAAAGAAGCATTTGAGGCAATTAAGGCCCAGAATCATGTTCTCCAGGAAACACTAACTGCACTGGAAGGGAGCACGGAGGGAACCAGCCGGGAGATAACGCGGAGTGACGCGTGGAGGCCACCGACTCCGCAGCTCGGGGCTCGACGAGCAGATGTCTGAACTCTCTGAAGGTCTCATTAAGAGCCGCGTGGTGGGCGCTGGCAGGCTTGGAAAGCTTGACAGTCCAACACCGGGATCCGCGCGGCACCGGAGGACAGGAAGCCGATACTCCAGCTGCACCGGAGCCACTTCTCCCCGCTCTGCCAGACGCCGTGGCAGCTCTGGCACGGAGCAGGAAGAGCCCGAGTCTTCGCTGGGGCAGACGAAGGCTGCCTGTGTCCCTGGGGCGTGTGGGCGAGAGGGAAGTTAAATGCAAGTGAGTGAGTTCCTTCCCCGACCTGCGCCCAGCCACGGAGCGAGTCTCGCCCCTCCCGGAGAGGCCTCTCGGGCGGGGGGAGCTGCTGCTACACCACGGCTCCCGCTGAGCAGAGGGCCGTGCGGTGCAAAGCGCGCGCCCCGGGAGGCGGAAGCTGTGCAACATCTGCTGGAGGAAGGGAAGACAGATGCTGACTCTGGCCCTGGGAGCACGGGAGAGGACTCAGATACGAGAACCCAGCCCTGAGGTTTGATTGCGCTCATCTGCTTCCCTCTTCTTGCTCTTGTCGACTGAGTTATGGAAAAGAGTTATAGCTCGGTCTCCGCAGCCAGCCAAAGTGTCTGTGCACAGAAGGACGGGGGAGGCTGAGCTGCCGCGGTACCCCGGGCTGGGACCTGGCCGTTGTTGCAGGGAGACTCGGTTCCCCTGCTCCCCTGCCCTGTGCTGCTTGCACAGCCTGGGCTCTGCCCCGGCTCTGGGGATGCTCGTCTGGAGACGTGGGCAGGGGATAACGAGGGACTGGCTCTGGGAGGAAGGCCCCTGCTGCTCCGTGAGATGCTGGAGGCTGGGGCCCCCCGGCGGTGCGTGGGGAGCGAGGCTGCAGGGTAAGAGGGCAAGGAAAGCAGCCAGGCGCTGGGGCTTGTGAGCCCCATGATGGGCAGAGGCAGCCTGAGGTCGACCCTTGCTAGAGGCGACCGCAGTGCTGTCGCCCGCGTGCTGGGAGGAGCACCCACGCAGGCAGGGATGGGCACCGGCCCCGGCGACAGGCTGAGTGAAAAAGCTGCAGGCTGGGAAGGTGACGTGGTCTGGGCGGCATCAGCATGACGCTGGCAGAAACCAGCCGCAGCGCAGCTCCCCTGAGCGAGGAGCCCCTGCATGGGGGCGATGGAGAGGCAGGGCCGGAGGGTGCCAGCCCCAGGCTGGGAGGGAAGCCCCAGGCAGCAGCAGGGTTGGAGGTGTGATTGCACCAGGTCTTGTCTGAGCATCCCGAGGGACGCTGGGTACTGCCAGCCTCTTGGTGGGCGTCACCGTCTGGCACGGCATTTGCTAACGTTCGCTGGGCAGAGAGATGGGCCGTAGCGCGAGTGCCTGACACTCCCCAGCCTGGCGCGGAGCACAGCCGAGCTGTCTGCCCTGCAGCTGCCCGACCGCCGAGCTTGCACCTGTCGTGGGCTGCTCCGACCTGGGCTTTGTGGGCACGCAGCGAGCCCCTTCCTCCGTGGGAGCTCATGGCTTCTGCGTTCGATCTGAGAAATAGGGCTGTGAGACCAGCGCGTGCCGCAGCCGCCCCCCCTCTGGCAGGAGCCGGAGCCGACGGCGAGCAGACCGGGAGCTGGCAGCGCTCTGCGCTTCCAGAAACACCAGCGCTGGTGTTAAGTACATATTTACATGGAGCGACAGCGGTGTTTACCTGGCAGATGGGCCTGGCTCCAGCCTGGAGCTCTTCTCTAGCCAAGCCCAGGGGCCACAGCCTGGCCCCCAAGCTGGGGGCTGGGCAGAAGGCCCTGGCAGGGCTGGGGTACAGCCTGGACCTCCCAGACTGGCCTTCCCTGCCCCGCGCTCGCCGGCCTGCAGCCAGCTGTGCATGCTCCGTGGCAGTAGATCAGGAGCCCTGGAAGCCCCCTGGCCTGGCGAGTATCTCTGGCCCTGTGGCACCACATCCACGTGCCGGCGGCTGCTGCGTGGCGCCTGGGCAGAGCGGGAGTCCTGGCCCCGTGCTCTGACAGTGCTATTAATGTTGTTTATGTCTCGCTGCCACGCTGCAGGGAGCTGGAGCAGCAGCACCAAGCCAGAGCGGGTTTACCTGCGTACCAGCAATTAGCATAACAATACACAGCATCTCCTGGCTCCCC